CAAAAATAAGAGATAAAATCAGGGAGCTACTAAAAACTGAAGAGGAAAAAAGATTATTGAACATTTTTACTTAATGAAAACTCCTGAAATTATACTAAAAATGAAAATAGATGACTAAAACTATAATACTGTCTCAAATTATTTTGAAATTGGATGGGATTACTTAGACTTGAATTCTACCCTACAGGAAAATTGGAGGAAAGAGGATAAGAGAGCAGGGGTATGAATGAGGGGAGGGCAGATTGGGGGAAGGGTAATCAGAAGCAAACACTAGCAGAGATATACTAATAGGGAATAATCTTAACATCTACAATATTGACAATAACTTAATAAGCTCAACAAAAAAGTATAGAAATACATGTAAGTAAATTTAAAGGAGAATATTCAGTGATCATTACCATAGTAAGAACAGGAGGAGAAAAGGTGGAGCTATAAAAAATACATCAGAACAGGTGTCAAACATTACCAAGACAGAAGTTATTTGAGAGCTGTGAGATATTTCCAGAAAATCATTATAAGATAATATCAATATCTCACATACCAGAAAACATAAGTATCTTAATGTCCAACTAAATTCAACAAATGAAATTGTAAATATCATCCAAGAGGGGAAAAAGGATATCAGAAATGTTTTCCTTTAAAGATCAATTGAAAGACAAAATCAGTAAGTTAATATCATATGAGAAGTCAATGTAATGCAAAGGACAACACAAGCAATTCAAACAACATTAAAAAAAATAATACAGAGGCTGGAGAAACAAGGACTTAGTGTCAACAGAAAATCCCTCAAGAAGGAAGATTTCAAACATTGTTAATTTATGTTTGAAAAATTCAAACATATCAAAAGTGTTAAAGAAATTGATAAACAGAAGTTTGCATGACATTAATGTAATGAACAATGACACAACAATGATATCAAAGGAGACGACTGAAATACTAGCCGCACTGTACAACTGGAAAATGGCAGGGAAAGTTAAGGTCCATGATTAACTACTCAAAATCTTCCCAGCAGTTCATGAATAACTAGTAAGTACTTTACCAGTTTGTATACTGAAGCATCTGAACACATCTTAACAAAAGTCATCATATACATGCATGCACATATAAATATATAGTATATAAGTTCATATGTGTGTATACAAATACATACACATATTACCAAAAGTAGACAGTATCAGTATACTCTTCAAATAGAGAGATAAACAACATCACATGGTTATTCAGATCATACAAACATTCATAACTTGTATCACTAGAAAAATACAAAAATCCTTTTTATAGGAAAATAATACATTCTCTAAAATGGGAGAAGCACATGTCAAAAAATCCCAAGGTTATAAGAACAATACTATCTAATTGTAAAGTATTGAATAAGCTATTTGAAAATGTCATAATATCTGTACCACTTTCCTTGATTATTGCAAAGCCTTTAACTCAGTTCCACACTCATGATATTAATGTAATAAAAGTATATAAAATAAAGCAAAACATACTGGTATTTGCTACCCATATTGAAAACTATTCTTGATTTGAAACATACCACTAAAAATAATGTTAAGAATAATTCATAAAACGTGGCATTTTCAGGGGAAATTTACATTTACACTTGAATGAGCATGTCACATTGGACCAATGGATGAGATGATACCTGTAAATACCTTCATCTCCTCTTGTCTAGTCACTCTGAGCACAAAAATATCAAAGGGAAGGCTATCATTCTGTTAGTAAATGTTTAACAACCAACCCTTGTGGGTGGGAAAGACATAGCATGGCATACTTTTAAATTTAATCTGCATTGATAACATTTTATCCATTAATTTCTTGACTCTAGAAACCAACAACAACAACAAATTTGTCTGTCTCCAAGGTGTAAATGTATCCTGGGTACATGACTCAGTTTCCTATCTATGTCTTAGTTTCCTCATCTCTAAAATAGCAATAATAATAGCACCTATCTCATAGCAATGAATAAAGCAATATGATGTAATGGATAGAGAGATACCAGAGCCAGGTAGACTTTGTGTTCAAGTCTCTCCTTTGACATACTAACCATTTGACACTGGAAAATCATTTAACCTTTTAGTGACCTAGGCAAATTTCCCACTGATAGAGGGTTTTCCTTACAAGAAACTTTCTATGCCAAGAAAACAGAGATCCAGTCCCTATCCCTTAGTTTAACAAATCTTTTTTTTTTTTCATTCAGTCACTTACTTGGTGGGTAGAAACTTCCTGGGATTGTGCCACACTTGGACAGCTTTCAAAAACTGAATTGTAACATCATCCATGCCAAAATGAGGCAATTTGGATAATAATTGATCATAATTTACAATTAAAAAGAACTTTCCTTACATTATCTTTCATGGTTCCCCCAAGAATACTATGAAATAGCATGGATGTTTCCATTTTCAAAGGAGAAAACCAAAATGCAAAGGATTTAAGAGACTTGTTCATGGCCAAATGGCTACTACATGATGGTGCCAGGACTTAAACCCAGGTCTTTTGACTCCTAAATTCAATATTCTTTCCACTATACATCACAATCTAGCAGCAAATAATTAATGAAGATATATTTCCATTATCAGTAGAGTCACTGAAGCAAGTGAAGGTTTTAAAGGGTTGTGCCAATGGAGTGCAAGTTCCTATAAAACTGGGAAAGCTTCAGATGTGAACCTGGTCTTATACTATAACATTCACCTTTATTGCTTTCATATAATAGGTTTTTTAGCTGTCAAAAATATATATAGGAACATGGAGGATTTTCAGTGTGAAACAGAATATCCCCAATACTAAGAAAAAAATCCTCTATTTAGCTTTCAAAGTCTTTCATAACCTAGCTCTTTCCCTTATCTTTACTATTTTCTCCACCACCTACCATCCCAAAGTACTCTTCAGTAAAGTGACATGAACGTCCTTGTGGTTTCTCAAATAAGTCACCTCATCTCTGTACTCTGAGCATTTTTAAAACTTATTATTCTTCATGCCTCCAATGCCTTACTTCCTCTTCTCTGCCTGCTGGCTTCCTTCAATTCAAGTCCTATCTAAAATATCATGTTCTACAAGAAGAATTTCTCATCCCCTCTTAATTCATGCTTCTCTCTGTTAGTTATTTTGTATTCATCTTTTATATAACTTGTTTTTAATTTTTTTTGCATTCTGTCTCTCAATTAAATTGTGAGCACTTTGAGGATAGCGACTATATTTTGTCTTTGTATATCCACCACACACATTCTTGAACATACTATAAACTTAATAAATGTTTATTGACTGATACTAATGAAATTAAGAATATTTTGAAATATTGTAAATATGGTATTGGTTAGCAATAATATATTAAATCTGTAAAATTCCTATTTTAAGTGCTTTATATATATGATCTTATTTTAAGGCAAGATTCTGATTAAAATAGTTATACCATTGTATATACAAAAAACAAAAAAACAAAAAAAGCAATCCAGCCTTTTTAGCCATTGCCTTAATTTGTAAAAGTGAGTCAAGAAGCTATCTTTTTTCAGTTAAAGTAGAAGAATTCACATAGTTTGATCTTGGTTTTTAGTTAAATAATGTTGGTTCTTCTGTATATTGACTTGAAAAATAGATAGTGACATTGTAAACAAAACTCCCATTCCACCTTGATGGTTGGTTGTTTTTTAATCTCAAGTCATTTTGCATAATTATCTTCCTTCTAACATCTCAAGCCAAGTTCCATTTTGATCTTCTTCAATAGGCACCAGATTTTCCATAAAGGATGAAGTGTTCTTATTCATTTAAAAAAAAAGTGCACTTTATCATTTCTTGTCAAGATAATCAACTTTTCACAGCAATGTTGGGCATTTATGCAATGCCTAGATTGTTTTGTAGGCTTTAGAAGGCCATGGTACTGATGTGTCATCAGAGAAATGAAATCTAGAGTTGAACTTTTTAGAAGTTGTTGAAATTGTTTCTATCATTAATGTAGTGATTCATTTAGCTATAAAAATGGTTTACTTTGAATCAGTCAACAACCATTAATATTAATATTATTTTAATAATAATAACATTTATATAACACTTTGTTTTACAAAGTGCTGCACATATGCTATCTCATCATATCCTCACAACAATCCTGTGAGATAGAAGCTATTGTTATTCCCATTTCATGAATGAAGCAATCAGGGCTTATATAGGTTATATACCCAGTGCCATACACTTAGTAATTATCTAAGTAAGATTCAATTTCAAATTTTCCCAACTCCAACTCTAGCACTCTAGCTACCATGCCAGCTACCTCAGCTTATGCCTCAGGCTTTAATAAGTGTTGGTGGTTCAAAAACAGAACAAAAAAATGAAATGAAGCCTATATATTTATTTTGTTTAAACAAAATATTTTCTTCTGATTGAACCATTTTTTTTGGTTCAGCACCATTTATTAACTGATTTCAGCTATCACTGAAGCTGTGTCAACATATACATAAAACATAAAATATTCTTCAACTCCTGTTGTTTGTGGATAGAGGTGTCTTCCAGGAAGCACAACAATATAATAAGAGACTCTGATGATGCCAGCTTTGACAATGGTGCCATCCCAAAAGGGATAAGGTCATGGCAAGTTTGATTATGTTTTCCAGAGGTTATGTAATAGGAGACTTTAGGGGCTCAGTCTGCCTGTCATTTTGATGCTGTCAGTGTATGTTTTATATTCTTTAATAGTGCTGGGAAGTAGGTTACATTCAAAATAGAGTGCCACATTCCATTTTTCTGGCCTCCTGGAAATAGACATGATGACTGTTTCACACATCTCTTTGCCCATCATGAAGTGTTCCACCAATATGGCAAGGATAAGATTCTCACAGTCCTTGGAGGCTAAGCCCTTATAAAGTTGAAAAATCAATTTACCACCATTTTTATTTGTATCTACCTACATATGTTTGATTCCTTCTTTGAAGAAATGGAAGTCCATCTTTATGGATCATCAGGTCCCCAGGATGTACAATATGGCCATAAAACCTACAAAAGTGCTCCTCCCAAATAGAAGAAATTTGACAAAGTTTTGTGTCATCCTTCCACAGGAGCTGTGCTAATCATCTCTGTATCACTCCAATTTTAGTATATGTGTTACCTCTGTGAGTACTCATTATATCACATTTTAAAGGTCATTACTTAATAACACAAAAGTCTGAAAAGCAAGACACAAAGGAGAACAGGAAGTAGATGAGTGGCTTTGTCCCTTGGGTGCCAAAATATCAAGGCTGTTGAAAACACTTGTATACTTTAGGAAGATAGAAATAAATGTGCTGATCACAGTCTCCATAAAAGTTTCTGCGGAATCATCTTCTTTGTGTTCTGAGATGTCTGTCTCCCTGTCATGGGATAGAATTCTGAGGTCTCTGCCTCCATAAACTTGTGTCCCAAATTTTAAAAAGACAATTTAAGAACATCTTGCTGCTTTTCCAGGGCATGTTTTGTGCTTCTTGTCCCAGGCACAAGATTTTACTATGTAAAATTGATAATCCTTCATGAATATAAAGGAATATTCCAGAAGGTAAAGGTTTGTGCTATTAGATGAAATATGTTTTATATTGAGAAGAGTAGCAATTGACTAGGAATGTCTCAGAAATGTAAAAAAAAAAATGGTTGGATGAAGATTTAAAAGTCATACTGTATTATGGGCATAGGCATGACCATTTAACCACACAAAAGTTCCAGAAACATTTAAATTTATTCTAGAGATAGATCTCATATATAAAGTCATAAAGTCACTCCAACTGCTTCTCAAATTGGAATTCAACGTTCCTGAAGAATTAATTTAAACAAAGAGTATGGAGGGGGGAAAGAACGTTGACTCTAGATTTAGGACATCTGGCTCCTAATCCTACCTCTAATGTTTATTATCTTTATGACCTGTGGCAAGTCACAATATCCCTGGGCTTCACTTTGCTCATCTTTAAAATGGGGGAGCTGGAATGGATGACTCACGAGGTCCTCTCTACCTTTAGCTCTTTGATCCTTCTTATGACCTATGTGGTAGAGAATAATTTTCCCAAATAAATCATATTATGAAAGTAAATTTATTTGTTAATTCTTGACAATTTTTAAAAATTTTAAATTTTATTTTTTAAAAAAAACTTGACAATTTTAAATTCAGACTAAACTCACAGTATTGTCTTACCTTTGGAATGAAAATGAGAGTACAGTTTGGAGATTTAAAGACAAAGGTGTTTCTAGAAAAGCTGTTGTTAAGAATGGAGAAAAATCAGAGGAATTCCTGGGTTTATAGTTATTTAATACAAATCCTAAGGGCACAGAAGATATTTTCATATGAGCACTATTCCTAACAGTACTATTATAGTAAATCACCAAATGATCATCTTCTGAAGATAATGCATTTGGGATATGTTCTGTGGACACTCATGATTCACTAATGCAGTACTATTTTTGCTTTAAACAACTTCTTTTTCTGATGGTTGTTTTTAAGAGCATAAAAATATGGGCTAGAGGATTGTTTGTTTTGGCCAGGAAAGGGTACAATGTGAGGGAAAATTTGTCTATAATACGAATGTGTACCATTTTTCTCTTCTACACCATTTATGTTTCCCGTTGATTCACTCTACCTTTTTTTTCTCAAATAATTCTAAGGATTTTTTATATACCTTATACTGTCATCTACTTGAAAGATAGTTTATTCAATACTTAACTGGTTCTGAGTTCTCCTCATTGTGAGTACTCCCTCCAAGAATGCAGAGTGCAATTCAACTTATTCCATGAAACCATTGTCCAGGTTCTGCCATTCAGTAAGAAAAGTGAGTTCTAGCCAATATGCTGAGTGGTCCTTCTCTAGATTTCTTGACATTGTATGCATACTAATGAAATAGATCAGGATATCCATATGTCTTCAGTTCTCAATGCATGCCCAGACTTTTTTTTTTTTACTCTTAAATCTGTTTCTGATTATATCCTTTATATTGTTTCTTCTAGGCAATCTCTCATTTTTAACATGAGCCTGCTTTTGGTGATCTTGAACTTTAATATTTCAGAGAGAGTGGTATTACATCATTTCTTAGTTCAGTATTCATTAGAATTAAAGAGTAAATAATAGCTAATATTTGTATAGCACTTTAAGCTTTACAAAGCATTTTACATATATTATCTCATTTGAACCTCACAACAATTCTGTGATGTAGTTGTCATTATTATGCCCATTTTATAGATGAAGAAACTGAGACTTAGAAAGTTTAAGTAACTTGCCACAGTGATGGAATAATTGATGTAGATTTGGAGGAAAAATTAAAGTCATTGATTGCAATTCTTAATTTTATATATGAAGAAACTGAAGTCCAGAGAGGTTAAGAGACTTCCCCAGAGTCACACAGCTAGTATGTATTTGAGGTAGGATTTGAACTCATTATTTCCTGGCTCGTAATCAAGTGCTATATCCACTGCACCACACTGCCTTTTCAGAGTGAATTTTCTTCAGCTTCTTTATTGATCATGATTATTTCTATAACTAACATTGAAACAATTCACTTTCCAGCTCTGTATCTTTTTTTGGTTGTTTTTTTCTTTCCTTTCTTTCTTCCTTCTTGTTTTCCTTCCTGTTTTCCTTCCTTCCTTCCTTCTTTCCTTTCTTTTTTTTTCTGCCAGTAGAGGAATAAACTCCTTCTGGTCTAGAAGGCTCATAGAACTCAAAAGAGGAAGCTGTAAGATATGATTTTCGTCTTGTTACAAGGATGAATGATAAACTCCAGCTGTCAGCAGTAATTGGACATATGAAAGCCAGAAATATCAAGAAAATGTTAAGTTACATTAATCAATACCAAGTCAGAATAAGGATCTAGCTGAAGACTATTGTGAATGACATTCAGAAAAATGATACACTCACATTTGTGAGTGATGCAAAATGTACAATAAACAATGCTCCCCAACCCCCATAAATTGAAAGATTAATTACAGTGTTAAGCAAATCACTTTCATGTAGTGAAATGATTATTTTTCCCTTCTGTTGTTAAGAACACATTAATCATTGTAGATGCTGGGCTTTGGTAGAGTCTAATTAGTAAGCAGGTAATGTTTGTAATGCATTTTTGTTAGTTTCAATCTGCTTACTTTTCTACCTTTCCTACTCTATATGTCTCATGCTGAACAGTATATAGGGCTAAGAGGGATAAAATGTAACTGGCAGCCATAGCAGGCTACTAATATCGATGTTCAGCTAATTAAATATCATCCCCCCTATGGTGTTTCTTTATAGTATCTTCAATAACAGTCTGTCATTCCTGAATGGATTATTGATGTGATGGAAATAAATCATATTATCAAAAAAGACAGTGCACAAACATTAGGGTTAAACATTGCCTACTTGAATGTATGTAGAGTTTGAATTGGAGTAGCTTGGATTATTTTGAATTTTGAAGGCAAGCTCTCTTTTGGATGCCAGAGCCTCTGATAAAAGATCCTGGGAGTTATTTTTGCACAATATCTAATAAGAAGTTGTGGAAGCTACTGGTTTTAATTAGCAAGTGAAAGAGCTAATTCAGCACTTTTTTGTTAATGACTTTCTCGTTTGCTAATCTTTTCTGAGAATCAATCTTTTGTCTTATATAAATTGTAAATTCCCAACGCAGAAATCATATTTATTTCTATATGCATTAGGACCTTGTGCCTAGCACACTCTTTGAATTAATAATAATAATGAATGTTAATGATCCATGACTTCAGTTCTTAAGGAGGCTGAAATATGATAATTAATGTAATATAGTAAGAATCAAAACTCCTAGTGAATTTCTCACTCGGGGATACCTTTAATTTCCATTATAACTTTAACCAATGGGAATGACAGGGTATGTTCAAAATGGAGCAGGGGTTGGAAAAATTCTACTAAAAAGCATTTCAGTGCCAGACATAGATTTCATCTTCTTAAATCTTTCTAGATGAGCAGAAAATTATAATTTGTAAACCATGGATGAATCATCACATTATGGAGCAGCATTACCTGTAATTCAATAGTTCACCAAAATTGTGTTGCTTTCAATACACAAAGACATCAGTCTTCTCTTTTTATTTCTGAATCTTCAGTTTCTAGGGTGAGGGGAAGTTTATGCTCTTTTGCTTTGCCTTCCCTGCATGAAAGGTATAAGAATAAGTCAAACATCTGGCAAAATAACTATATCTTTTTTTTTAAATGTGTATGGGATGAAGCCACCACATCCTTTTAAAGTCTATAGAAATCAGTAAGCATTTATCAAGTGTCTGCTGGATGCCTGGCACTGTGCTAAGTGCCAGGATATAAAGAAAGAAAACAAAAAGAAAAATGGAACAACAAAAGTTTCTCTAAAGAATTTAACTTATTAGCTGCCATCCATCATAATGACTTCCCTGTGTGTATAAGAATAAGTTGAGAATATAGCATGTAAAGAGTATATACAATCACTTTTACTATACACCTTCCCCACCCTGAAATTACATTAGCATAATGGATAAAGTGGTGGCCTTAGGATCAGGAATACCTATTTTGAAATCCAATCCCTGATACTCACTATATCCATGAGTATTGACCGCTCTGAGTTACAGTTATTTCATTTGTAAAATAGACAAAAAAAATAATCCCAGTAATATGTTGAGGAATTTTCTGAAGTTCAAATAGGAAAATGTGTGTAATGTGATTGGCAAGAACTCTGAGTACAATGCCATGAATATAGTACATGCTTTAGAAATATTTTTGTTTCATTTTTAACTTAAAAGACTTCAGAATATCATTTTGTTGTGAGAAATTATTTCATAAATGACTTGATAAACAAACAGACCCAACTCAAAAATTAGAGCTAGATGTGAAGTATGCTGGAGATCAATTACATTGTCATTTGCAATGGATAAACCATCATCTAGGATATGCTTCCTGAATATCAGGAAAATCTAAAAATCTTGAAAAAATGCTAATTATAAGTATTGTTCCTATTTAACAGAAAGAAGATGATAGCAACAAACAATTGAGTGATTTGATGGAAACTTATGAAGTACATAAATAATAAAATATAATGTGTCTTCTTATTAGGAAACCTTTGGTGCATCTAGAAAGACAGGCAACAGTCTTTTATTAAGGGCTTTCTATGTATAAGACACTATGCTAGGTAATGG